TGTGTTTTTGTTTAAGGTACTTTCCTGATTTAATTCTGGTAATTCTTTTAAGAAATGGATAAAAGTGGTATATAGCAATGCATACGCCAGTGTTATGGTAAATAAGCAATTAACTTCTAGATCTATATAGAAAGAGGCTGTCGCCAAGAGTATCCTCTGTCCCCATATTTGTATTTGATATGTGTTGAAATATTTGGTATGTTTATTCGTTATTCACATGAAGTGAAAGGAACTTGTGTTAACCCGAAAGAATTTAAAATTCTTCAATATGCAGATGATACAGTTTTATTTCTTGACGGCTCCAATGCTAGTTTTCAGAATGCTATAAATATGTTGTATTCTTTTGGTAACTGCTCTGGACTTAGGGGAAATATACAACAACAAAAAAAGCAATTTGGATTGGAGTTTCAAAAGATAATAATGAATTAAAATTAGAAGCATCAAATGTAAAGTTTGTTTATAATGGTTATTTTAGAAATCTTGGAATAGACTTTCATGTTAAAATTACAAAGATGCCCGATTAAAATTATGATAGAATAGTTGATAAGTGAAACGACAATAGATTTCTTGGATCAAGCGAAATATTACTGTTTTGGAGGAGAATAACAATTATTAAGTCATTATTATTACCACAATATAATCATTTTTTTACGTAAATTCAGAACCCATCTGTTGAATTAATGAAAAATATGAAAATACAATTTTGAAAGTTTATATGGAAATATAACCCTGATAAAATAAGCAGAAAACAAGTTGTTGGTTTATATGAAAAATGTGGCTTAAAATGGTTGACACAGACTGTTTTAGTAAAGAAACTAAAGCTAACATGGGTTAGAAGAATTATTTGGAATATATGTACAAATGTTGGTCATTTAATGCAGTCATTTTTACAACAAAACAAACATTTATGATCAGTTTTGGTGATAATTTTTTTTTTAAACCATCTCATGTAACTGGCAATCCATTTTGGAAAGAAGTTTTTAAGGGCATGTCATTGTTAGTTAAAGCATATAAGAATGATTGGTTATCCGAATCTCTATGGATGAATAGCTCTATTCAGATTTGGCAATGAGTCTATTTTTTCTAAATCCTGGTACGAAAAGGGTATTCGATTTATTAACGATTTGATGAATAGAAATGGAAACTTATTGTCTCACAAGAAAAGTTTAATTTGAAGCGAAATTATTTATCTTATTATTCAGTTTGTTAAATAATGAAATGCACATAAAGTGCATTTCACAAAACATGTCAAACAATTTTGGAAGAACCTTTAATTCCTTCCCATGTTAAAGCACTTATTCATGAGAAGAAAAAAAAGGATGTAGATACATTTATAAAGTTCTTTTTGAAGAAACAAATTGTTTGTCTCTAATAAGTTCAAAGTGGGAACAATATTCGACTTACAATTTACCAGCTGTATTGATAACAAATTTCGTTTCACACCAGTTATTAGTCTGAAATACTTTCAGTGTAAGATTTTAATAGAATTTTGTTTTTTAATAAACAACTTTTTAGGAGGAAAAGTGTAAACTATGATATGTTCATTTTGTAGAAAAGAAATAGAAGATATGGCACATTTCTATTTTGAATGTGAGATAAGTAGAAAGATCTGGAATGAAACCTCAAACAGGATTTATGAAAGAAATCAAATTAAAATTTTGTTCACTTTACCAATTATAATGTTTGTCTTTGAAGATAAGAGAAACGATGCCCTAAATTGCATTGATCTATTGATTAAACAACAGATGTTTATTTGTAAACTGAACAGTATTGTTCCGCTTATTGATATGTTGAAAAAGGAAGTTTTACAATATTATAAAGATGAGAAATATATTGTATGTCTATCTGGAATGATTGAAAAGAAACGTAATTGAACAGCCTTACAAAAAACGTCAAAACTCACGCATGGGATTTAGAATGTATTGCCCAAAAAGTAGGTTGATCTATGTCTCAAGTACTAATACTGTAATATGTCTTCTTCTCCATCGATGTACAGGTTGTCATTTTGATCTTGGGCTGGCTTCAGGCATTCTCGCATTAACAAATAGTCAGATGCATAGAGCTCTCAACGAATCAGAGTCGGACTTTGAAAATCTGAGGCTTTGGCCTTTCGAGCACAGACCACCGACAGGTTGGGGAGGGCGCTCTTCAAGCTATGCTGGTGATTGGGTAGAAGTTTTCATTGGGAGCCGCACCATAGTTCAGGACGTCATCATTCAGCAGTGCGATGATGTACGGATTCTTTCGTTCAACCTGACGGCTATGTCAGATGATGTCTCACACATATTTCACTTCGTGAGTGCTTGATTATCTAGACATTTTCCAATAGGAAATCAATTTCAGAGAAAGAAGTTAAATGTTGCCGGAAATCTCCCAAAGAAGTGGTTGTGTATCTTTTTGTTTTCCAACGAGATGAATCTTGTCAAAAATTAAATCTCAAATTACTGTAAACTTTACTTAAACATTTGGCTGATCTTTTAATTTTTCGTTTTTCGGGGGGGGGGGGGCTTAAGACCGAAAGGGAAAATAAGAATATGTGTGGTGGTGGTCGGTGCGCTATGCGACTTTATTTTTTTGGTGTATCTCTGTATGTTATTTGATTTCCGCCGTATTACTACGTCTTCCTAGACTCATTTTGTGCGATGTGTTTTTGGAAGAGGAAATGAATACTCCTTTTTTTTAGATGTATCAATTTGTCTCAATCTACACTACATGTATAGGATATTTCAGATTGCGAGACGGCGATGTGTAAAGTATCTCTCCCGGAAAGAATCATAGCTACACGATACTGGGTACTACCAACTGACTGGAACGACAAATTGTGTTTCCGACTGGAGCTTTTAGGATGTCATATACTTGGTAAGAGTTTTTAAAGATTTTTGTATACAAAATCGACTTTTCAACTTGTTACCCTTATTGCAAGCTACGATGCACAATGTCCCTCACCTCTAATATCTCGACTCAGGCCGTAATACCCGTTGGACACGGAGAATCAATTCGATTGTGCCAGGTGCTGACGCAGTTTTTTGTTTTGTTTGTTTGTTTTACCTGACTGCTAAGAAAGCAACCAGGGGACCGAAGGCTTTAACTTTTTTTTCCGAAGGACTTGATGATAAGGATTAAAGCCTTACAAAAGACACTAGTGCATCCCCTTGGTTTCGAATCCGGGACCTCCCGGTTTGGAATCCACTGCTTTACCAATGAGCCATCGCGTCTCCATGTTCTACGTCAGTTCTATGCAGAAAAAATTAGGCCTCGTGTGCAAATAGCATTATCCTCCTCGATGTTCTCTTTTCGCAGACTGTGCGTCTCGATACTGCGAGGAGAACTGCTCATCGGCGTATCTTTCCCCTGAAGTAGCGACGGAAATAGCCTTGGACCAATCAAGAACATTCCCTCCTCGTGCTATGTGCCATCAGGAAATCAGATTGCCAGCAGGTCAATATGTGGTGTTCATTTTCCATGGATTTCAGGTATTTCAAGATTTTCATCTTTTAAAGCCTGTCTGCTCTAGTTTGGCCAGGGAGGATTAGACCTCCCAGCGTGGTCACTGACAGGGGGTTATCTCATCAACCCAGCTCTCAATTAACATAAAAAAGAGGATCATGGGGGACCAACGGGCACCGCTTTAGGCATTGTTTTCGATATAGAGGGAGCAAGTAACTACAAGTAGTGCAGTGGGGCTTTAACGCCATGTTTGGTGATATCAAATGTCTTAAACATTACTTTAAACATGATTCCTAAGTAAAGGGAGATGATAAATTTCAATTTTTCCAGATTTAAAGCAAATAATAAATATATTAACATGTAGTTTTAAGCTTCTAAATATATTGTATTATCTTGTAAAATGTAAGATGAGATGAAGTTACATTTTAACCGTCCTCATTAACAACAGCATGTCCTTTTTCGACAGCATTTTTTCCGTGTATTTGGTTATTTTGGGGGCAAGTCCAATCTATTTTGTCTCGTACTCGGGCCACATCTGAGATTTAGTAAATTCGTCAATAGCCCTATCTAGAGATTAGATCAGACCAAATACGACGTTACCCACAAAGTTGGAATGATTTTTCTTATCTCTCGTCATAGAATGGCTGTGACAATATGCTTTATTTTGATAGACACGCTTCATATCTTATCAGAACTTTAGAGATGAATGTCTATGAATCTTTAGATTGATCAATTAAGCTCAGAGAACAATAAAACTTTATCTATCAAGAATATATCATAGTGTCATGACTCAAACGTACTTGGTTACTTGAAATTGAACATGCCTAAATACCATAACTCTTTGGATTTCCCTTCTCAAAAGTTCTAAAATGCAATAAAGTACTTAAAATTGCAGAAAATTGCGACGAAACATGTTATTTTCTCCCTTCAAGTCTGAGGTTGACAGTAGCGGGAAATCGGATGGTATTCTCTCGATCAGTGACTCAGTCGGTGAGACGGACGTGTCCTTTGACCTCAGTCACGTCCCATCTGTCTTTGTCTCATCATCTTCAAATCCATCAGTGACCTTATTGTCAGGATTTCTCACCGGGATCTCAAGCGCCATAGTTGTCTATGGTTCTGTAGGTATGTTGGCATCGTCGGATGTTTCCTAAGCCTTTTAATTATATACTGGGCCTTCTCATTTTGGAGAACCAAGAGATTTGATTATAAACATCAAAAGCAAAAATATGAAATGATCAAATTAGGCATGTTAATCGCATAACCTTTTGCTGGTTTAAAATACTGCACCTACCGTCCGAATCTTCATTTTTGGGAAAAGATTGAGAGCTAATATCGCGGAAATATTTAGGTTTTATGACACAGATCCTATGGAGAGAGGGGGATTAATTAAGGAGCTGTAAGGTTCGTTTTGTTAAAATCCTATACACAGTGAGAAATTTCTGAATAAATCTTACTAGCGGCTTGATTCCCCCGAAAATATATTGACATAAAATTACGTTCTATTGTGAACATTTTTGTAATTTACCTTTTCAGGTATATACAAAATATATTCTTGTAGTGATTGTATGTAATGACTTGAATTTTATTAAAGATAAACCCAGGTGTAGCGAAAGAACTGAAGGTACATCTGAGGATTATTTCTCCTGCAAGCAAAGCTCCGGGTTTCTGATGTCTCCGGGCTACTTCGATTCATATCCTTCCGATCTGGACCTCTCCTGGGACATCGCCACCAAACCATGGACTCAGATCAGTCTGCACTTCGTCGAACTCGATGTCAAGTCCTTGGAAGAAGGATGCAATGAGGACTACGTGATCATCATGGATATGTCATCTCAACGTTCACTTGGGCGATTCTGCGATCAGAAGAAACCCTCTGGATTAGTTGTGTCGTCATTGAACCGAATGGAGATCAGGTTCCATTCCGACAGCATCAGAAGTGGTGATGGTTTCTTAGCTGAATACTCGTCATATATTCTTATTCCTGATATGATCAACAGTACAAGCAGTAAGTTTTTCGGATTTTTTATTTGGCAGATTTTCTGTACGATCAACAACAACAAAAGGAGTTTCTTATATATAATACCTCGATCTTTAACAAAAATGGTACAAATGGTATTGGTAACATGACACAGGAAAAGCGTTTTGTGTAGGATGATGACCGCGGAGCAATTGTCACCGGATCAACCATTGCCATTTTGACCAATTTCAGCCAGGGCTTATGTGTTTTAACCGTTTGTTTTATAACTTTATATCTTTTAAAAAATTCAAATCATAGATCACACATGTTCTGATGGATGGGATGTTTTCCATGGCTCATGTTGCCGACTCTTTATCAACTCAGAAGCAAGTACATGGAACGAGGCAGAACTGGTATGCCAGGAAAACCCTAAGGGTCATCTAGTCAGCATTCGGGATCAAGACGAGATGGTCTTTCTACATTATATGATCTCTTCCCAATGGGAAGTGACAGAGACCGAGACGTATATAGGAAAGTATTGGTGTACCTAAAAGTATTGTTTCCAGTTTGCATGTGGCACTTTAACACATAACACACATTATACCCTAAATACTAGCATGAACTATGTCTCGAGACCTGGTACTATTTGGTCTCTGTTTAACATCTTGATCAACGCCACTGTTTGTGCTTCATGACGATCTTGAACAGTCAGAGAGACGGACGTGTTTTGAGGAAAAGGGATGTCCTTCATTTAGCAAGACAGTTCCGCAGTGATGAAGACGTCTTACTTTTTAGCCATGCTACTCACTCAACCGCTGCACGCATCACTATGAAGAAACATGACAGAACTGAATTGAATAAGAAAATCATTTATATAGAATCCCCATAGTATGTTGATAGTATGAAAATTTGAACTCGTGATCTGTTATATTTGTACAGACACTTGATTTTTTTGAATAAAAATAAGATTTCACGTCGCTTGGTCATTTGCATTAAAAATCGGAACAGCCACTGTCATACATTTACGGCTTTACGCAGGGTCGTGTTGGGCAGCTTGGCTCTGATCACGGTGTTTACTGATTGCGAAACTTTCTCGTAAACGGAGGGTTTACATTGTCCTCCAATAACGACCGTCTGTTGAGGTCTTAAAGTGTAACATGGTCTTAAAGTGTAACACGGTGCCTAAGTTCCTGAAAAATTAGTCGATGCGCACAGCGCCTTGGCATAATACATCTAGCTAAGTGTTTGCTGTTCACTCGAACTAACCAGCTGGCCGCAGCAATGTCTCGCCGAATTAACTAACTAATCAATATATTCAGGGGGGGGGGGGACAAAAAAAAGACACTTTCTGGGGGGGGGGGAGGGCACATACAAAGGGAAATCTCAAAGCAAAAATATAAAATTGTTTACATTGTGGTCACAATAATGAGGGATGATTTCAATATTTGTTTCTCAGACTCTTTCAACTGAACATGCATGGTCCAATTAGCTACTGTTTAAGCATCATGTTACTTTGCACAATCTGAATATTCACTTACATGACATGGAAGCAAAAGTTTCAAGATAAGTGAGGTCGCTGTGCGAAAAATTACAGCTTGGGATTTTAATCACGATGATGAAAGACTGAAAACTATATAACACACTTATATCAACTATAAATGCGATCTAGCGTAGACACAAGCTTGGGGGGGGGGGGGGTTAAAGAAAAAGAGTTGCTCTTAGTCGCTTAAAAAATAGGGGCACATGTTATGGATAAATGAAAATGGAGCACTCAGATGGAAAAAGGACATTTATTTGAAAAGAAAAGGAACATGTGTCTAAGTAAAAGGGGCAGTAATCAGTGGTGAAAACGGGGCATTTCTCGCACCTGAAAAGGGGCACTCACCAGAGATTTTTAAAAGGGGCACTAATGATAATGAAAAATAGGCATTTGTCGCAGGAAAAGGGGAACCTATAAGATTTTGATAGGGGCATTTATCAAAGATGAAAAGGGGTATTTATGAAAAGGAGAGGGGCCGTATAAAAAAGGGAAAAGGGGCACCCATTAGGAGGGAAAGGGTACTTACAAGAAAGGAAAAGGAGGCATGTGTCAAAGAGGAATTTATGAGAAAGGGAAGGGGCTCTTATTAAAAAGGGGAAAGTGGCACATATCAAAAAGTAAAAGGGCACTTATTAGAGGGGACGCGTGTCAAGGTAAACAATAAAAAGGGCTATTATCAGATATCATAAGGGGCACTTATGAACTTGTGACAAACATACAATCCAGATGAAATACGCCATAGGATAAAATCATTTCTTCACAGTATACGAGTAAGGAAAGAAAAATATAAGAAACCAAGATTACTTTTAAAATTAGAGAAAAAAATAAGAAAAAGATAAAGGAAAGAAGGGAAAAAAAGGCAGCCAGGCCTATAAAAAAAAACAAGAGGTTGACTAGAAGTGAAGACATGGTATCAATATTATCTTGCTCTTTTCCTTTCGTCTTCTTTTCATTTCAATTTTCGTTCAATTTATTTCTATCTTTCTTGGTTTCTTTTTCCTATATTCTATTCATTTATTATTTATATTTATTTTCTTTTTTTACTTTTTCTTTTTTCTTTCTTATCCCATTTTCTTTCTTCCTTTCCTTCCTTCTGCTTCTTCAATTTCTTTTTCATTTGTTTTCTTTTCTTTGCGGCTTACTTTCCGGCATATTTTCATCATCAAGAGAAGTTAAATGTGCTAGATAGATGTAATCAGAAACAATGATATCTCCAAATTAACGGTCAAATTCCAAATTGTCCCCCCATAACGAATGGCGATTAACACGGCCTGCTGTGCATGTAGCGCAGTCGGAGCGCAGTCTATAAATGCTTCGCGGTAATGACAATCTTCGGCCTTTTCCACTTGAATCTCTCCCTCTCTCTCTCTCTCTCTCTCTCTCTCTCTCTCTTTATGGGATAAAAGAGAGCTTACGAAGCTACTCATGTAAGGCATAATCTTTCCTATCGGTCTGTATTAAGCTTTAAATGTTGAATTGGTACACTTTAGTCGAACAATTGCAGCAACTAGCTAGTTAGCTGGAACGAAAGCGAGCAGTATACTGCTGTTTGCATGCATGATAACTACAGCTAGCTGTACGTAAGCGCCGCGCGCACGCAGCGACTCTTTTTTCAGGAGCTAGGGGGTCGTGTTACACTTTAAGACCATGTTACACTTTAAGACCTCAACAACCGTCTCTCTGACTGTTCAATTGACCCCTCTTGACTCTTCGTGCATTGTGCAATTGCGAGCACTTCAGGTATTAAAAAATAATTGTCAAGATTGTTGAAGCATGGTCGTGCAAGCAGTCCTTGCAGTCCTTGCAAGAAGAGTCCCAAATGGACCAATCGTATTGCTTCTCTGCTGTTCAGATGATGTAAATGTCTTTATTTATTATAGATTAGCAAAGCATTTTGATATTTTAGGAGGAAAAATCTATAAACTTTTGGAAATATTTGACGACTGAACTGTTTGCACATTTTGATCGTAGGTCTCGGCAGAAGAGATGAACGTGGAGTTTTCTATTGGAATGACGGCACCCCTATGTCTTACACAGATTGGTACAATCCCCCACAGTAAGTCACGTGATGGAAAGTGATTTTTTTTTTTTTAAATTAATTTGTGATATGTTAAACCTTATGTTTCTTGTATCTTGTTTAACAGCTAACCCTTAGGAAATGTAGTACTTATTATTATCATCACAAAGTAAATAGTACTATTTATTTCCCTAAATGTTATTCATTTTTCAGAATCATTTCTGTAATTCAGCTCAGTATTCTTTGTACGAAAAATGGATGACGTTTGAACAATTTTCTTGTTTAGTCAGCGAAATAAAGTCGAAGGCGCATAACGAACCACGAGGTGCAGGTGTACCAAAGCATCCCATGTACACATTATTTGGAACGATAACCTTCTCGTATTGCTCCTTACATAATGTATTTTTCGTAGAATCCCATAGAAATGTGTTTTTTGACACGTGCATGTTTTAAAAAACTATTTTCGTATTAAAAGTTGCATTCTAAAATTAGCTGACCGCTAAAATAACGGAATTTTATCTTTGACTGCATTTCTTTAAACGCCTAAAACATTGTATTTTTGTTTTAATTTGCAGAGGAACGGAAGGTGAGAGGCAGCCTAATGGAGGTTCACTTGAAGCATGCACAATGCTAGTCTTCGATTCAGCCACTTCGACAGATCGGTCGACCAATCTGTGGCATGACGTAGCGTGTGCATCTCCTGAAACAAAGCAGTTCATTTGTGAAACAGCAGCATCCGGAGCACTTGGTACAGTAATTAAATCTAGTCACACACATATGCACCCTCACACACCTACACACACCCACACTCAGCTCAGTATTGTAATGTACTGTATCGGAAAATGTATCCAATGTCAAATATTACATTGATGCATATAAATATGTATGTTTTGAAGATGAGATAGAAAACAGTAAATCAATTATCAATTAATTGCGGTGCTAATTAGTTCCAAGTTTTGGAATGTGCATACAAACTCAAAGATGGTAAAGTTAAAATTAAAAAGAAAAGTTTCATCGTTTGAAAAGGGTATGAGTATGCTTATGAATAAAATATACACTGACACACCCACACACCCACCCAAACACATTTATGTATGAACAAGACTTGACTCTTATTTGCAAAAAGCCTACGTATCGTTTCCACGCTACATTCTACATACGTTACATACTTTAGTTTAACATTTCTCTCTTCAAATTGATATTGCTGTTATACTTTGAAATACATAATCCGAATGTTATAGCAATTAGTTTTACTTTGTTTACTATCATGATTTTCACAGATCTATCAGGGGAATTACTAATAACCTTACCGTCAGGAGGTAAGATACTTCTCTATGCTTTGTTGTTTTTAGATAGCACGAAATAGTCATATATATTTAAATTTCATTTCTGATCAATAATTTCGCACTTTCAATTGAAAGTCTTCGAGTGGAATCTGTTCTTTATGTGTAAAATAACAATTAGAAGTGCTATAGTAAGAACAGTACGTATACTCATATTTATAATATGTTTTGTTTAATTTGTACTATTTATAATGTGCAAATATATATATATATATATATATGCAAAATATTAATGTTACCTATACACCCTTTTCCTATTCACCAAACATAGACACCTTGCTTTCGTAGTAGATCCGTCCAATTAAGTTGTTTACACTGCATTAATACGCATGTCACATCTTTACTACAATATTTTAACAGAAGCTTGTATGTTTGTCATAATTACATGAAATTAAGTCACCCTTGTTATTACGTATCTCCAGTTCAATTGCCCGATAAAGTGAAGTAGAAAAAACTTGTCATTCTATCAATTCATATAGACTCTGTCAGCAACTGCGGGACTAGACTTTTCCGATGTTCTGCGGGTGAATGCATCAGTAAGGCCGTTGTTTGCGATGGAGTACTGGACTGTTTATACGGGAGCGATGAAGATAGTTGCCAAGAAGGTATAGATCAAATCAAATCAATTCACTTATGAAATCTACAATCTCAAATTGTCATGACTCCATACATTTAAAATCATATAATTCGTCGCTGTTTTCACGAAGTGACGGTAGTGAAAAAGAATTGCATTCACTTTGCGTGACGATTTTCCTCACTACCGTCACTTCGTGAAAACAGGGACGAATTGCTGTCCATAATACTCCTCTGTGTTACGTTGCGGTGTGCACATAATTTCATTGTTATGGGCGGCCAAAAGGGCCAAAATTAATAAACGAAAATAAACAAACAATGATAGAAATAAACAAAACACTAAAAATCATCAAGAACAGTAATAAAGGAAGAAGCCCGGGGACAACTTCGGATAAGGATATCTAAAAACTATTCCTAGAGCCTAAACTCCTAAATGCAAGAGTGTCGCAACATTGACACTTTTTCTTTCGCATCCATATTGAAATTTAGCTTTGAAAGGAAGTGATTATTGATAATTGAGGAACAACGTCTGCAAAGAATTATCAAAAGTGAATAAGAATGATTACTCGATTTGAGGCAAAAGGTATTTGACTGACTGATAATATTTAACTCTGTCATTTCTGATTCAGTTTGTAATTCTGATCAGTTTCGATGCAGTGACGGGTCATGCATATCAATATCATTCTATTGTGATTCCATCCCGCAATGCCCGGATAACTCGGATGAAAGTGAATGTGGTAAGTGAGAAAAATTGTTTTTCTTTTAAGCCAAATTAATGTTCCAACACCCCGATTACTGTTTTTATTATTATTACTATTAATTATGTGGTGGTGGTGGTTATTTTACCTGACTGCTAAGAAAGCATACATGCTTGTGGGTAAGCAACCAGAAGGCCTTCTGTCGATTCCAAAGATATTAGGACAAGTTCCCGTCCCAACAAAGTCATGTTAGAACATAGGACTATCAGAGGTATATCAATCAAAGAACGGGGGCGGTAACGACTATATTTTCTTATAAAAATACAGCAACTACAGGTGTAATTTAGATCGAATTTAATTTTGTTTTTCTTTCAGCCTTACCGCCTTGTACTGAAGATGAGTTTGCATGTAACAATGGTCAGTGCATTCCAGCCAGTAAAAGATGTGATTTCATCAGCCATTGTCACGATTCATCAGATGAAGATGGCTGTGGTAATAATTATATTTCAAATACTAGTAATTTAGAATGTTAAATTGTTTGGTGACTCTATGTAGCCATGCAGGCCCTATTTTATCATATTTATGTCAATCTGGTGTTAATTTGGTTCTAGGTATAGATACGATAATTTTAAGTTTTTAGTGTTTGATCTTATTTGTCCGAAGTTCCCTATGATGGTAATAGGATAAGGGGCACTTATATATTCCAGACCAATTATATTACTGAACTATAGCGGACGATGTAGATCTAACAATAAAAAGAGAGTTTTATGGTAGAACAGGAAATCGCCGTATTTTCCATGTTTGGTCAATAAATTATTATGACATTCGACATTAACAAAAGTTGTTCAATTTCAATATCGTGTCGTGAAATAATTTATTAGAAAATGCAAAAAAAGGTATCGTGACTTGGTATAAATCATAAGGTGAAATAGGAATACAATTTAAACATAAATACCTCTTTCTGATCGGGTTAAATCTGATTGCATTCTGAATTCGTGGTTCTCTGTCAGAAAATTTCCTGGAGGTCTTCGGCAGCTCTTGTCAACTTCAAACTATTCTAACAACGTAATGCAAAACTATTGTAATGCTGTACATCTATTCTATTCTAGATCTTTTTAGTAATCTTTGTGTGAAGTTCAAACTATTCTATTTGTAAGGGGATGAATTCAAATTCTACCCTACACACTTTTGGGGCCCAATGGAAGACCAGCAGCAACAATACAGTTGCAACTGAAAATGGGCTACCAGCCGTATTTTGTCCTTTTTCTCTGTGTGATTACGTTGTATGTATTTTATCTGATTTTATTATACAGAAATAAAAACAACAACAAACAACAACAACAACAACAACACTATCATGATAGAAGCCCAAGTTTATGCTATTCTATCTCCTTCCCCCCGACACAGTCTTAGAGCTTTCTCAATCTGCCTTCCAGTGCTACGACGGTTCGCTTTTTCCAAGGCAGGTTCATTGTGATGGTGTGATCGACTGCATAGGAAATACGAACGAGGATGAATCTGAGTGTGGTGAGTATCACTCTGTGACCTCATGCATCACCAAATCCAATCCGATTTACTACTAACCGGACAAATACTGAGTATCTAACCCGGTCAAAGAGTGTGTTTTTCATCTTAGATACAAACAAATCATCCAGCTTCTAATTGTAACGTAATTAATTATCTGCATTACTGATCAATGTTACAAAATCGTTATGCCCGTTTAATACTAAACGTACATATTTTGACACCTCGTATTATATTATTATCCTGTCTAAGATGGCAATCAGTTGTTGAAAGAGTGCAATACCAATATAGATTATGGATGTATAAGGTGATAAATAATAAAATGCCGAAATATATTAAGGATATCGTGTGCTATCGACCGATAAACGTTTATACCAGGTATGCAACTACCTGTGCAATATTCATTAAAAAACACAAAACCGAGTATTTCAAAAGATTTTTCTGTTATCAAGGCTCCGTTATATGTAATGCATTACCCCCTTTTTGTACGTTTATTAAACTCACTGGATTCATTTTTAAAAAAACACTGCAAACTCCTTTCTCTCACATAGTTTAAAATAGTACTTACATGAATATTTTACCCCTCCCCCCCCCCCCCCCATTTATTTCAATATTTTATCTTGTTTAATTTTTGTGTTCATTATAACTTATGTATGTTTATATGTTTTGTAAAAAAGAAAATTGTTTTTGTTTTGTTTTGATTATGTTGGTCGAGCAGTTTTTATAACTGAAAGGGCTACCCTGTCAAAACGACAAATAAATAAAATCCTACCTGAACATATTATAGGAAAGGCGAGATGGTCTTTAGATAACCGTATTGTCTTTCCCAAAGTGTTACCTTATTATAAAAATGATAGCCTACATTGTGCATCATTAGATTTAATAATAGCCTATACCGGTTTACTAACATGTTAACATTTATGGATGTTTCTTTCTTTGAGACCTTGTGACGAGTGATTCCATTAACCTGTTATTAATGAATGAACTGCAATACTCGGAAACCATTCTGCATACATTACTTTTTGCTATGTCGGGCGAGGCTCGGGTAAGCTTTCAATTTGTCAAGAACACCCTTTCTTTAAAAGTATGAACACTTTTAAAAATGTTAGTAATTCGATTTGTTGGTCAAATTAAATGTTTCGATTATCCACTTCTTTTGCACAGCTTATAGCACTCCGGGTGACGCCTGCGATTCGGCTACAGATATCACGTGCAATAACGGAGCATGCGCGTCACACACAACACGGTGTCTTCATAAACTAGATGAATATGGCTTCTTCACCGGATGTCGTGACGTCACACATCTAAGAGCCTGTGGTAGGCGCCATTTTCATTTCAATGATGTTCAGTATTTACGAGTGTTAAAATGGTTAATCCAAACGCTTTATAATTAATTGGTATCCGAGTTTAACGACGACTTTGAAGTGTAGGGCATTTTTTGCCGTTGCGAATGTTGCCTACAAATTATCAGTTATAAGAGTCGTGGTTTTCAAGAGTTCATGTACAGCTGTAGCGAGAACTTAAATTCATTTATGATGAGTACAAGACAGATTCAATAAAAGAAGGGTTTTATGTTTTTTTTCTTCTTCTTATAGAAATTCACAGGTCATTTTACACATTTTCATTGCGGCTATTTTTGTCACACATATTACGCAACCGCGTATATCACTCATTGTTCTCAATTAACATTTTTTAAATATTCATTTTGTACAGGTAATTTTGAGTGTCCAGAGTCATACCTGAAGTGCCCTTCTTCTTACTGCATCCCCCTCCGATATCGATGCGACGGAAAAATGGACTGCCCCTCCGGAGAAGATGAAGCCTTTTGCGGTGACTTTGGTTAACGATTTTTAAAGAGCAGATGGATGGATTCAATTTATAATAAGATGTGCATACACTAGTCGATTGGGAATTTGAAAGAAATTCGCAGTAACAGAGCCACTGTTAAAGATTGCAGAAACTAATTGACATGTTAGGGTGGATGATAGCATTGATTTGGGGGTTAGAATTGGAGAATTTAAAGTTTTCTTTTAACCTTTACTTACGTCGTAGTTGTCTAGCCCGAGCTATATTGTGAAACTGGGTTTTTAGAACTATTCTTTGCCCTATTTTCAAATTCATTTAGCAGTTTCTTAGGTCCATGAAAGAAAACGAAAAGAATCTTGTATCCTTTGGTATATCTATCCCATGATAAATGCTAGCTGGCACATGGAGATTAATTATGTGGCATATAAAGAGTTAATGTATTTTTCTGTGTCATATCTCTGAACCTCCACCCCTGTATACATCGAACGTAGATGAGTATGAATGCCCGGATGGATCATATCGATGTCATGGGCAACACTATTGTATCGGTCTTGATCACGTGTGCGATGACATCATACACTGTCCCGAACGAGACGATGAGGAATTCTGTGGTATGTGATATTCACTATTTTGGTGGTAATTACACACACGAACATATGGTATCATCTATACTTCTGTACAACAAATTACTTGTAAATTGTATGTCATTACATTTAGGCTTGTGTACATTGTAGTTGCAAATTCAAGCCACTTGATCTTTCAACAACGAAACAACAACAGCATCAACGACAGAATAAATAAATAAATCAGTGAATATTGATCAAGTAGTATAGATTCGGGTAAAGTAGTCAATGTGGTAAAAAAGAGGAAAAAAGAGGCATTACAGTACATTAAAGCTTATCTGTACTAGTTTACAGGAGGGATTATACCGCCCTGCAAGGTCACTGGACAGGTGGTTATCTCATCAACTCAGCTCTCAGTTAACATAAGAAAGAGAGGATCATGGGGGACCAATGGTCACCGATTAGGCATTGTTTGTTATATAGAGGGCGCAAGTAGCTACAAGTAGTGCAGTGTGCCTTTAAAAACTTACATTACTACACAAAAAACTGTTTTAAAAAAATGACAATTTGTTAATATTGGCATGATTGGTATAAAGAAGAAGAATGGTAGTATACATGAGTCGTTTAATGTGTAAAAATACCTTGACATAGTCGAGTAGGATACTGGCATTACATAATAATTTTAACAATAGAATGACAATATTAATGTACATTTTCACGTAATAGTAAATTAATTTCAAATATTTCTATTTTGAATTAACATGTTAATGAATTGGATTTTGTTTTTACAAAAGATCAATGCCCCCAAGGCTGTGAGTGTGATGCACTATCCTACTCCTGCCATCCGGACCAGGTCGATTTTAGGCTCCTTCCCCGCCAGCTCAGAAAATTGTAAATAATATATAATATATATATATAGTCAAACCTGTCTATAGCGGCCACCCAAAGGAAACACAAAAATGGTATTTGTAGACAGATTCCTAGTACATGTTTCAACGAGAAACCATTTCGAAGGGAATCAAAAAACGTGATCTTTGTTGCCAGGTGGTCAATTAAGCAGGTTTGACTGTATTTCACAAGATTTTATTTACAAGGTTATGCACTTAAGTACACGCAATTGTGGTATAGGTAATATTTGAACTGATTTATTTTTCTGAAAAGATGAAATATGAAAATGAATGGTTTCGTCGGAGCAGTTATGACGTCAACATATCAAATAAATGCTTAAACAACTCTTTCACAGAAATGAACTGATTTGATTTGACTCGAAGGTTATTGCTTTTATGTTAAGCATGAAGACAAATCTGATGAAACATATTTTTTAATATATTTCATTCCATGTTAGTCTCCATTTTTGAAAGTGCGGGTGTACTCAGGCATTGGAACAAAATACGTTTAGTCCCTAAACTCTCCTTGATTGTGCAGTGAAGACTCATCCATATTACACCCATCATCTTCTTTAGATCTGTAATCTGTGACGAGCTAGATGGCCCGTGCGATTCATCCTTAAGTATTGTGACGAATGATGACGTCACAGAAGGGACTAGTTATCAACTCATGCCCCTGTTGATGCCCTATTTGATTTCTTTGTAAGTATCTGTTTAATAGTGTTTATAATTGATTTTTCATTTGTGTATAAGTGCTTTATGTGGTTTTCCACTCTTCGAGTGGGTCTAGGCCTTATACCTTAGTCACACAGCCAAACCAACTCCACCTCGATTCCAATACGAATGATTCTTAGCCACTGCTGGTAATAATCTTTTTTGTTCGGTCTGTCTGCAGTCTCGTCGTTGTAACCGAGGTATCTTATATTTCGGCTTATATTAATATTTTTTAATAATTAAAACAAACATAAATCATAATTGTTACTTTTTATTACAAAATTATTAATATTATTGTTATAAGTGTTGCTGCTATTATTATTATTATCATTAGAAGGACTTGTATCGGCGTAAAACCAGTATCACAACGAAAATGCATTGGAAAGCAATGTGCGATATGGCATTTCCTCTTTTTTTGTAAAGACTTAATGGTTTGGTTTATCAACCAGATACAGCGAATTGGACTTACCGGTTTTAATTTGTGAATTAATTACAGGTACTTGGAAGCGTCATTTCTGGAAGAAATTCAACAAGGTTCATTTCTGGAAAACAAAAACCTTTTGAATTTGTAAGTATGATGCCTACCTTTTGTGTAAAGGTTGCGTAGATATACTAGAGGTTTTATTTCTACTGGCATTTCACTGAGAACGTCGATTTAGAGCCACAGTGCTCCAAATGAACATTCGGGTAATGATCGATAAATCTACCGAACCTGCAGGAGGCCAAATGGTATGCCAGAATCCTTGTTAACATACAGCCGCCAAGTTTGGCGTATTAAGAATGACTACATTTTAAGAAAAATACAATATCAAAATATAAGTCGAGTCTGTATGGCTACACGGACGGTTTTCCAAATATCTAAATTCAGCATGACCAATGTGCTTATTTCGGTTACACTGTGGAAAATAGGAGAACGAATGTAAGTACTATGGTCACTAGACGAGCTGATATTAATAACTAACATATATTGATACCCGCAGAGTAAAATATATCACACTTTGGCTACCGAAAAAACTGGAATATAGAAACCACAGTGTGGTGAAAATGAATGTAACCACTGTGGCCAATGGAAAACTGGAATGTAGATAACACAGTGCGGTGAGAATGAATGTAACCAATGTGGCCACCAAGAGAATGATTGAATATTGGTACGGAAGCGTGACGAGATTGGATATAAACACACTGGTCACTGGTAGAACTGTGGGATATAGGTACCACGGGGTGATTGTAATCACGCTGTGTCCACCAGGAGGGCAGAATAATCGTTGTTGAATATAGGTTCCACCGAAGGATCCTATGGAATGTAATCATACTTCGGCCACAGTAAGAATTGTATTCAGTACCAAATGTTGCCACGTGGGATTCAGAAGGGACACGGGCCCGTTGTTTGAAGTATTGCCAGAGTTGATTTGGAACACATCCAAAGTGGCAAAGTAAACTCGGCAACATTAGGTAAAGTTTATCAATCGTTATGCTGAGATCTAAGTATCAATGTATATACCATTGTGTTTTAATATTTAATTTCATTACAGGAATCTGGCGAGGAACAGTATTCGCAGTCTTTTTCGAGGTACTTTTGATGGTCTCCATCGTATGAAAACGCTGTAAGTACCTGCCTTTGAATTCAAATGTTAAGCGAGGTGCAAACCTACAGGATAATACTTTATTGTTAACAATATAGCTTCAAAGCTTCTCACTCCCACGTTTTGACTTGGATGGATTTTCTTCTTTGATCTCAGTGAAGTCCAGCTACACAAGACTCCGATAAAGCTTCATTGAGAGCAGGAAACATCACTTCTAAATCTGATTTGATTTCATACAGTAAAATCATTGTCTGTGCTTTGTAATTTGATTCTCAGTAGTAGCGACCTGTGATAAATAGACTGCAATCAATTTTAATGTATTAATTTCTTTTAGAAACCTTTCAGGAAATCCACTCACGGTTGTCGAGGCGGGAGCATTCGGGAATCTTACCCATCTTCAAGAATTGTAAGAACCGTAATTTGATTAAATAGTACTTAACTTAAATCTATCATAATGTAACCTATTTTTTATAGATAAATAATTAGGTCTCATTTACCCAGGGTAGCTCAATCATTAGTTATACAGCTCTTCCTGGGGACTTTGCAACTTTCAATACCCAAGTTATTGCCAAGTACCCATTAACACCTGGGTGGATAGTGGCAAATGTGGATTAATGTCTTGCTAAAGGACGTTAGATTCGGGCTTCGATTCGATTCTTCTACTCACGGATTGAGAGCCAAGTGAACCAACCACTATACCACGGCATATACATCGCAAATTATTACTTAGTTGACCGTATTTATATTTCCAAGATAGAATATTACCATAATAAATACAAACGCTTACTACTTGTACACTTAAAACCTGTGTAACGTTCCAGAAATCAATTCAAAGGCAATTTCAATACCCTATTGTGTACTCTATAGAAATCATGCTCTTATTACATGTAATACATAGTAAATACATAGTAAATACATAGTAAATACATAGTAAATACATAGTAACTGCATAGTAAATACATAGTAAATACATATTAAATACATACTAAATACATACTAAATACATAGTACATACTTAGTAAATACATACTAAATACGTAGTATGGCGTCATTATCGTGTTCGTATACGATTCGATAAGCGATGACCTAGGCTATATTGCAATCGCTTTTATAAAGGTAATACAAAGTTTTGGGAAATTTTGAAAATTGGGTGGATAGTGATTCATTACAATTTTGATATATTTGAATGCCCCTGTGGATATTTTATAAGCACTAGAACTTTTAGCCCCTAAAACACTTCTGCTTTCGAGAAAAATTGAATCTAAAAATTTACCGGTGCTCCCGGTACATTTTGATAAATTTCAAATAGCGCCTACGGCCGAACAATGGTAGCTGCGACTATGAAAATCTCAGAATATGTAGTTGTGATATATAATTTTCAAACGGGAATAGCTAATTGGTCGAGTTTAGTCAAGAAACATTGTTTGATAGCTTAATTTATATATTGACCTTGAGAGGGAGCTACACAACATGAAGAGTTTATTATTTACAATTTCATAACTTTAGACTCGATTTCAACCGCGACAACGATCACTGAATATTGTGGGATCGCATTGCTTCCAATAATGTTCATTTGAACCAAATTCATGACCTCATACCAAAACTTTGTAGGTTGATTATCTGTGATTGCGATCGTATTAAACGAATACAAAAGATGATTTACGGATTTCTTTGCAGGGATCTTCGTGGGACCGCCATCACCGTTACAACAGACACGGGACGTGATATGTTCCACGGATTGAAACACCTCAAGAACATGTTCGTTTTTTAAAATCTGATATAAATAAACTAGACCGTAGAATGATTGCACGATGAAACATGAATGATAAGACCAAGGAATGTAATGCGTTGTAGCCAATGATAAGTTGGGGTAACATTTTTGACAATTCGATAACAGTTTGAAAAAAGTTTGGTCCTGAGGAAACTGTCAGGAAACGTCGAAAATTCGAGCTGTGACATCCAATTTGTATTTGTTAAAATTATTCAGGTACCTGCCTCTTGACTTATTATTTCTGAGCAATGCGTGTACATATGGCCCAGTCACATCCACACAATAAAACATATCCGAAATCATTGGAGATCAAGGGCAATCCTGTATACGTAGCCTAAAAGATAAAGATATAGTTCGTGTTTGGATTTCTATAATAACGTCCCTTTCCCCATGTAAACTTGTATTTTCATATTTAAAACTCTTCCAGAAGCAGAGTTATTTTGATCATTTCACGCAACAACTAACTGCTTCTTCAGTAGACTGAGAGTAAGCCTATACGCAACTAAATTACTATTGTTTTAGGAAACTGTATACGCATGAAAAGGTCACGTATAAGAATATATTTGAGGAAATGGTTGTAAGACTCTTTTTTTTTGTACTTAAATGAAATTTAGTTAATAGTTAATAGTCAAAATTATCATAATAAACATGTACAAATAGGGATAATAATGCGATTATGGATTCGCTAAAGATGCCTCAATCTACTAGGGTCCTAGTAAATTTGACATAGTTTTATTTCATATTTACTATACTTGCAATACATTTCAAGTCAGCATGTTATTTCTTCTAGACGTAAACGATATATCATATTTCTTTCAATAGACATGCTGACCGCTACGTATTTTGTTGTCTCGCTGGATTGGTAGATTCGGTCGGCTGCAATGCACCACGTGATCAATTCTCATCATGCGAAGAACTCATGGCCAATGGAGTTCTACGGATTTTCATCTGGATTCTAGGAGGCAGTGCTTTCATCGGAAACGGGTTCGTCTTCGCATACAGGGTATTCAATCAAAAGAAAGACAGAAAAACCATTGTTCAGTCCAGTTTCATCACGAATTTGGCCGTTTCTGATTTTATGATGGGTCTGTACATGATCACAATTGCATCTGCAGATATCTACTACAGAGGAAACTATGCCTTGCATTCTGATGAATGGCAGTCTAGCGCCCTCTGCAAGGTGGCGGGGATGCTTTCGGTCATATCAAGTGAGGCTTCTGTCATGTTTATCATGATGATCAGTGTTGACCGGTGTATTCACATCCTTCTCCCCTTCAAACAAGGACTCCATCTTTCTCTCACGGCTGCTCGATGTTCTCAGCTTATCATCTGGTGTATCGGGACTCTGGTTAGCGTCCTACCTGTGGTAATCCCAGCGTACAGCAAAGTTAACTTCTACGGACAGTCCGGGGTCTGTTTGGCCCTGCCTCTGACGGTTGATCGTTCTGCAGGATGGCATTATTCCATCTCCTTGTTCATTGGAGCCAATTTTGTAGCCTTCCTTGTGACCCTACTCTGTTACCTGGCCATGTACATCCGCTATCAGCAGTCCAAACAGATGCTTGCTCAGACAGGTAAAGGTTCCAGAGATGACAAAAGACTGACTGAAGATATCAAATTGGCATGGAAGATGTCACTGATTGTCGGAACGGATCTAATTTGCTGGTTCCCAATCATCGTCTTGGGTCTCTTATCAGCGGCAGGGAAACTTACTATATCGGCTCAGGTGAATATACCTACAAAATGATATGTAACTAACATTACGTACACAAACAAATTCAGAAACACTAACTGTTACTGTTTTCTGGCTGAGTGGAATGCAACTATCTCCTTTTCGATAAGGAGTGCATTTCTTTCATATCTTACAGACTTTCCTAAATAATACGAGGCAGCGGATATAAGAAAGGTGTTCAATAAGATATCTGATTCCCGTAAAAACGATGCTCCAAATCTTTGACCTTGGTTCCATAATCACCATTCATTAACACAATCGAACACAGATTAAAATATTAATGTTAAATTAATTAGCAGATGAGCGAGTGCATTTGAATTTGTTTGTTTATTTTCATAATAGAATCATTGAAATTTGATATTACTTTGTTTGCTTTCGGCTTGTCTTGGAGCTTGTATTTCCATTGATTTCGATTGTTCGCTGATTGCTCCCTATTTGCTAAAAGTGTCTTCTTCTCTTTTATTCTTTTGATAGGTGTATGCCTGGACTGCAGTTTTCGTCCTCCCTGTCAACTCGTCTCTCAACCCTTACCTATATACACTCTCTAGTTTGCATGGGAAGAAACAGAAGGTCAAGAAGTCTGCAGAGTCAGCTACAGAAGAAAATAAAACGATTGGTACGCCATATTGCATTACTAAAATTTGTTGGCCAATCAACAATATTAGGGAGACAGCCATTTTTGGAAGTCAACTTTACAATACAAGTACTGCATGAACTATCAGTGAGGGAGTTGTGGTAAATGATCACCGGATCCTAAGATCTTTGAATCTCTATCTCTCTTTACTCCGAGGCTCTCTCTCAAAGATTTTTCATTCAATACTTCACATAGGGTTTTCCATCGTTTCATATTTGAATTTAATATCCATATAGGTCTACATTAAAAACATCCACAAACGCGATTGCAAATACTTTTACATCATCAACCTAAGACAATATCAATATCCTTGTGCATCACCTGTTGCAACTTGCGAATATGACAGTGATACAGGGGCGTACGCAGGGGGGGGGGGTTGGGGGTTCAAACCCCCCCCCCCCTGGCCCTTTGATATTTTTATGTGTGTAAACCCCCCTAAAAAAACTAAAACCCCCCCCCCCTTTTTTTTTTTTTTAAATTAAAAAAAAAAAAAAAAAAATTATGCCCACGGCTAACGTAAAGTGACCTTACCCCCCCCCCCCCAACGAAAAAAAATGTGAAAATTTTCAAATTTCGAGACAAAAAAAAAAATAAAGTGTCCGCTTACCCCCCCCCCCCCCCCCCCCCCCCCCCCCCCCTTATTGCCCTTAAGTTGATTGCTTGAAAGTCTATACGATCGTGTTTACCTGTATGTAACTTCTTTAAATTCAACGCTCGTTGTCTCCTTTTTTTGTAAAATGTAGAGAGCAGCTTTGGGGATGGAGACAGCTCTTCTACGGCTAAAGCTCCCCCTTTAACTATTTGGCCCGTCCCGGTTGCGCAGCACCTTGAACACTGGTTGAAAAGTGAATCTCGTGACCTGACCCAACAAGAACTTGAGGTCATCCGACGAGACATTAGCCAATCACATGCTCTCTTGATAAAGGCTGGCAACACCGTGGATGGATGTATAAAGAACATTGTCGTTCATTTGGAATCGGATGAGCAGTGCAACGATGTACCTAACCAGGCCGAAATCAATCTCTCTAAGGTTATGGGGTTACTCCAGGAAATACACAAAATGGAGTATTAAATGTGTGTATACATACACACACCAGAACATGGCTACAGCCCTTGAGACTGAAATCCCGGCACACCATCTCGCAGGAATTCAATACAAGAACTATCCGATGGTTCACGAGACCGGCGCACATCAAGACTGACAGCCCAAGAGACCGATACGTCAGTCTTCAGGTCCTTCTAACAATTTATTTACTCAAGGTTCTTGGGACAAAAGTTTGTCAAGCTTCGTGGGCTTTTTGGTCTTGTAAGCAGTTTTTTGTTTGAAGTCCTGACAAATGAAATATGTATATATATATGATTAATTAACGGGGTTCCCTCTATTGTTTCCATTGTATCATGCTTTTGAGTCATGCGCCCTATAAAAGGATTTGTTAACATTGTTGTGATGAGAAAAAAATGGTGCTTAGGTAGTGGCTTCAATGCCAGATGTACAATCAAAGATAATCTGAAAGTTTGAGTGAAAACGGACCATTATTAATGAAAACCGATTGGGAAAACCTGATCTGATCGATTCCTGAATTCTCCCAACTATATTATTGTAATTTGATTGAATTTATACGAATGTAAATCGTCACAAAGCAATGAATTGGCTCTATATACCATTCCAAACATTTAAGTGTGGAAAGATTGTTTAAAGCCTGTTTTAAGTCTTATTGTTATAGCAAACGGTAGGAAAAATAAAAAAATTGGTTGGGATAATTTAATGTTAAAGGGTGTTGCACAGTGACGCCTTCAAAGAAAATCATAAATATCTTTGTGGTTTGAGAATTTGTTCAGGATGTTTTGCATGTTAGAGGGTTAGTATGGTAGAAGGAATATAACAAGTAACATTTCATATAAAAAATACGCAATTTTTGTTCATCTACCTTCAACAATGTTACCGGTTCACTCTAAATACAAATTATTCGAATAACGAAAAGACGGGATTGTATGCAACATTTCTTTAAGGTATATCATGCTTTTGATTTATATACAAGTACGGAAATAAATTATCTTGAAATGGAAATTGAAGTTAAAACTAGAGTTAAAGCCCGTGTGCAGGAGCAGGCAGTGAGGGGACAGAGTCACTAAGTCTTCATTTGTTTGGTACAATCTTTGAAAGATTGAGAATCGTGGTTTCCCTTCAAAGTTATAATTCATACATTGACCTTTTTTTAAATCCTTTTAGAAAATTTGAACAACGAATGGTAGCTGAACAAAGAATAGTTGCTATTCTTTTCTTTGTAGTAGCAAATTTAAAAATAAGGGGACTTTTTATGTGAGCAGTTGTAAATATAATTGTCACTGATCTATCATCGCACTTGTGTTTTAATAATATGTTATTGCATGTATGATGTTGTTGATTGTGAAACTAAAATAAACATTTGATTTAAGTTGGCAAATTAGAGTCATTGCATGTTTGCATTATTTAGTGTATCATTCGATGTCACAATCGGTTTTTAGTTTCTGATAGGCAATGCATTACCACTAGAATCAATTAATCGTTTACTACATAATAATAATAATAATTATATAATAATATTCGGTTCTTGTATAGCGCATATCACAATTTAACGTCTCTATATGCGCTTCCAAAGAACTTTGGAAATTATTACTCCGGCTTTAGGATGGCTGCCATTACGGCACTCGAGCATTTCAACGAATTAGTTCCTGCCAGGTACCCATTGACCTTGATTTACATTGAATTATAGAATTATTAGATGTTTTATCTATGTATGTACTTGACTTATCGTTCGGGTAATTGATCTCATGAATGACTGTTTGTTTTAATAACTGAATGGGTAACACATTCGTTGATTTTTATGATCGTCTAACGACGTGACTGGCAGTTGATACCTTTCTTATCGTGAATTAAATCTTACAGTTGCATTCATTCTGCGTTTCATATCCATTGCCGGTTGTATGGTAACAACATTTCATACCCAAATTATCAATCATATCGCAGCTACTATACAAAATATTCTATTCTGTGCTTGAACAAGAGAAACTTTCCGGAATGCTTGTGCTTTATTACTGTTTACGGGCTCAGTAAACTTCTATTGAATATCATGCCCAGTGACGATCGGGAGTTGCCATCCTTTTTTATCAGACATTTAAAGTAGATACTGTTCATGTAAAGCAAAATGATTGTAGAATGTTGCTTCTAAAAGTAAATATTGATACAATGAATTATACTCTTGTCAATGTGTATGCACCCACACAGAAAAAATTTAGGGAAGGATTTTTTAAGAACTTACAACACTCTTATTACAAGCGATGTAAAAGAAATTGATTCGAATCTAATATTAGGTGGAGATTGGCACTGTGTAGTAAATGTGCATTATGATGTTCAAGGTACCAAAAGTAAATTTTATAAAAAGCCACGAAACTTTTGTAAATTGTCAAAACGATATTCCCTGTGTGATATTTGGAGAAGAACAAACCCACTCAGTAGACAATTTACACGGCGAAATACTTCTCTAAAATTAGCATCAAGACTTAACTATTGGCTTGTAAACAAGAACGTTCAGGTTAAGGTGATCAAAACAGATATTAGACCGGCAATACGTGCCGACCATAATGTAATATCCTTCAGAATTATAATAAAAGAAAATAAGACTGGTCCAGGATACTAGAAAATGAACACCAGTATTTTGAGTGATGAGAAATATCTGAATAGTGTGCGTAATATTATAAATATGGTTCAAGAAAAGAACCATTCTCCCTCTGAAATGTGGGAATTGTTGATATTCCTTATATTATGCTACAAAATTGAGTTGGGAAAATAAATTGACCAAACTACAGAAACTCCTGGATAACTGGAGAAGCAGAAACCTCACAATATTTGGAAGAATCACTGTTGTTAAATCACTGGCTTTAAGTCTAATAGTTCATTTCATGATGGTAGACACGATTCCACCAATGTGTCTGCAGAAATTGAATAAATTAGTTTTCAATTTTATTTGGAAATCCAAAATCGACAAGGTAAAAAGATCAATCCTTACTCAAGATTATAGCCAAGGGGGATTACGTATGGTTAATACTGAGAAACAGATACTGAGTTTTCGTTTAAGATGGCTCGGTAGATTATTGGATGACAGTAAAGGTCCATGGAAAGATATGTGTAATTGTTGGTTTGATTGGCTCGGTGGCGTAAATCTTCTATTAAACTGTACCTATGACCATAAATTATTCGATGTCCAGAAATCGCAACTCCCTAATTTCTATTTAGAAATATTACAAGCCTGGAATTATATGAAAGGATTTACTTGTAGTGGAAATTATTCTGTACAAGATACATTTTTTCATAGGCAGATAGTATGGCATAACAAGGATATTGTTTTTAATACGAAGTCTTTGTTTTCGCAGATTGGTTTGGTTGTGGAATAATTTATCTAAAGGACCTATTTAAAGAAAAACATTTTTGTCTATTAAAGACCTGTCAGTACGCCTGGAGACAAAAAGAGCAAGCAAAATCTTTTATTCGATTATACTAAATTGAAGAAAGCTCAGTATTCCAAAGATATGGCTCAGTGATCTTACAAAGGAAGAAACTGAACCAGTATATTATATTCACTCTCTTGAAATTTTGTATGTTAAAATTGGAAGAGTGTCCTTACTGTAATATCAGTGACGTAAAAAGCAAACGTTTCTACAATCTGATATCTTTTAAACATACATTCAACAACAACAGATGCTGTCTTTTGGGGGAAAATATACTACAAAGAAATATTGACTGGTCTTCAGTGTTCAAAAGGTATTTAACATATACAAGGGAACATTGCTTAAGGGAGTTCAATTTTAAATTGCGGTACAATATACCTGTTAGAAACAATCTTTACAAATGGGGATTAGCAGATGACAGATACTATCCCCGGTGCCATGTCATAGAGGACATACTGCATGTGTTTATCGAATGTGAACATAATAAGAATTTCTTTGCTTATATCAAACATGGTGTGAAGTACACTTTTGATATTGATTTTGTAATGGATATCTCTTGTTTACTTAAGATTAATATTGACAGAGAGATAGACGTAACAACGATCGCCATCTGGTGTATATACAAAATGTTAGTTATCCGGAATAAGTATGGATTTAATGAAAACCATTTCAAACTAAGATACGTATTTGAAACGAATCAAAAACAGAATTGTTGTAAATCAGGAGCTTAAAAAGCCGGACTAGAGGTTGCAAAAGAAACTGCTACAAGCACTTTAGATGAAAAGTAGCAAAATATTGTATAGTTGAGAAAAAAATATGTGATTTCTATTGATAACATTGTGCGTCAATTGTATTTGTTCTCACAACTTTATTTTGGTGTTTGAATGTAAATAAACACCTCATTAGTGGCACACACACAAAAAATGCCCAGTGACGATATGAATTGTGTATACGTTTATTATCAAGTACTTGAAATGTGAACACTTGTTATAGGAGAACAAAAAAAATCATTATTATGTGCATTCATAGATAAATGTAATGTTTTGCTTTGTGTCATGAAACGCTCAAACAGAATAACTTTGGTGTTTATTCATATCACTACTTTTATTGTATAAGAATTCATTCTGTGTACATTTTGTTTGGTGATCTTATATTTCGTGACATCTTGATTGACTTTTTGCGTCACATGCCATAATTTTTGAAACGTCATAATACGGTCTTTGTTTTTAGATCATTTTAAGAAAGCTAGCTATTAAAAATTATTCTTTCATGAAAAGATAAGATTTTTGTCTGCATTTGTTATTTCATGAAATCACAAAGAACGTTTCATATTATCATTTCCTGGAATTCATTCTGGTATCACGCTGCAGTTGTAATTGGGGCTTTTTTCTGATTTTCTACACTGATGCCTTTTGAAATCATATCAACTTTAATACGTACATCCATTGTTATATTCGAATATTATCAGATATGACGTAAGAGACTACTAGTTTTGAGACTGCTTCACGGGTTGTATTTTCTAAAGACTTTGCGATGACGTAGTGAGAGAATTTCTACAGATGATTATTTTCAATTAAAAACAATAGATTACTAATGGAAAAAGAATGAGCACTTTAACAAATTAACCAAAAACCTGTAATAATAAA